CATCTAGAATTCAGGTGATTACTCCCTGAACTTTCTCCCTGAAATCTTGTCTCCTCCGACAGAGCTTCTGCAGCTAGCAAGGATCTGAGGGAAGGTGGAAAGGGCCTGGAGTCCCTTCCATGGCACGGCCCTCTGCTCCCCAGCACTACCCAGCTCTCTCCACCCTCCTGCTGAGCCCCCTTTCCTGAGCTTCAGTCAGGTCCCACCCGCCCTGTGACTGCCTCCACACAGTACGGCCTTGGGGATGAGAGCACATTAGACAGCCCCACCTTTACTTCCCTAGTCCCAGACAGCCATATTTCTCAGCACCCTGCGTACTGTGGCCTGTTGAGCTCCAGGTGCCCTTCCGTACACAGATGCCGACTTATGATGGGGTTGTATCTTGATAAGTCTGTCATGAATTGAAAATGTGATAGATGAAGATGCACTGATAGCACCTACCTCCCACCCATCCTAGCTCAGCCACACAGCACACTGTGGAGTGTAGCTGATTCCTCTTGTCATCATGGGGCGGCTGGGACTTGTGGCTCTTTGCCATTGTCCAGCATCAGGAGAGGGTTTTACCACACACTGTAATCCTGGGAAATGATTCACATTCGAAATTCAAAGTAAGATTCCTACTGAGTGCATACGGCCGTTTCATCATATAAAGTCATAACTCGTAAGTCGAATGCAGTTAAGAACTAAGTGCCTCTCGACTCCCACGCTCTCCTCGCACACCTCAGCCCTCAGCACCTGCCTCACTCACGGTTTTCCCAGCAGGGTTGGACAATGTGTTGACCAGGCCAGAGCTCTGGACCCACCTTCTCACCTGCCTAGGGGTTCCAGATACAGAGGACCCACAGGCAGCTCAGATTCCCCCTCAAACTGAACCTAGCCGTGCAAAAACTGCTCCCCTCCAGTGCTCCCACTCGCAACAAATTCTCTGACTCCCCAGCTACCCCCATCAGAAATCTGTTCACAAGCTTGGCTTTCCCCCGCCGCCCCTTCCCCTCCCATTAATCATTAAGGGACATTGATTCTACCTCCCAAAGGTCTCTTAAGTCTGCTGACTTCTTCTTGTCCCCTCTGCCATAGGACTAAGCAAAGACACAATCACCAACTCCATCTGAATTGCTGCAGAACTCTCCCACTGGGCTCCAGTCCAGTCCTCCCAGTCCCCCACCCAGTGTGACCTTTCTAAAGTGCAACATGTCACCTTGGGCAGTCTCCAGCTTCCCCCTATTTGGTGACCTCTTATTGCCCTTAGAATAAAAGCATACCTGAAAGGCCCTGGTAACATCATCCATGCTCACTTCTATACACTCCCCACCCTAAAGCTCTAAGCTCTAGAAATTATTTAACATGAAGAAACCTTGCTCCCTTGTTCCTCTGATCCTTTGATAAAGTTTGAATGTGGTGTGTCCCCTAATCCTCACCTTCACCCCCAACTCATGCAGGAGTTTGGTCTCCACACTATGATGTATAATATTAAAAAGGTGGAAACTTTATCTTACTATAGTGTTTAGAGGCAGGGCCTTTGCGAAGTAATCAGATTAGTTCAGGGTTGTAGGATGGAGTCCCCCCAATCAAATTTCAGAGAGGTAGAGAGACCACACAAGGAAATACACACCTACTTCCCCTATGATATGTTACACCCAAGTGGACCTTTGCAAGAGCCTGTCCAGTGTTGTTTGGACTTCAGCCTCCAGAGCTGTAAGCTAAACAAACCTCTTTATAAGTAACCTAACTTAGGTAGTTAATAATAAAAACAGAAGCTGACTAATGCAGCCCTCACCTGCTTCTCTGTCTGAATGTGCCAGTCCTTTCCCATGATACTCTCTAGATTTCTATTCTAATACAGTAATGCACAGTTTAATACATGACGATAAAGCAGACATCCCTGTATCTGGCACCCAGGACGGTATATTCTAAAAACCTGCCAACTTAAAAAGAAGCCCCCATTTTCTCTGTCCTCTAACTTTTTAGAAGTAGCCACTGTCTTGACACTTAAGATAATCACTTCCTTTTTTAAAGTTCTATTTTATTTCCTTTTTTATTATTGTTTTCCTCTTGTGCAGTGTTGGAGGTTAAACCTGGGGTCTCCTGCAAACTAGACAAGTGCTATACCACTGAACTACATCCTCTGCTCCCTTCTTTAGTTTCTTCAAAATCTAATCACCGAAGTGAACATCCCTGTGCATGTCTTTTCTTTAATATGTATTTTTAGGTGATTTTAAAAAATATACTGACTCCTCTTTATTTTTTTCAACTGTCTTGTCATTTATTTGAAGTAAGTTTATTATTGTCCTGTAGACTTTCATGTGGTTTACATTTTTAATTAATTTATTTTAATTGGTGCATTAGAATTATACATAAAAGTGAGATTCATTTTGATAGATTCATATGTGCACATGACATGGTTGGATCAATTTTATTCTCCTGTTACTCCCCTTTCCCATCCCTCCTCCCCTTTCCTAACTTTCCTTCCTCTATTCCACTGTACTCCCTTCTATTTTCATGAGATTCTCCCTTCTTTAATTGCTTATTTTTCTCTATATTTTACATATAAGAGAGAATTTTTGATCCTTAACTTTCTGAGTCTGGCTTTTACCCCTCAGCTAGATGTTCTCCAGTTCTACCCATTTACCAGCAAATGATATAATGTCATTTTCATTTATGGTTAAGTAAGACTCAATTGTATTTATGTGTGTGTGTGTGTGTGTGTGTGTGTGTGTGTGTATGTGAATAGACAGACGGATGGATGGATGGATATAGATAGATAGATAGATAGATAGATCACTTTTTCCTTATCCATTCATCTATTGACAGGTACCTGACTGGTTCCATAACTTGGCTTGTAAATTGTGCTGCTATACACATTTGTATGGAGGTATTGCTATAACATGCTGATCTTACTTATTTTAAGTAGAGTAGCTTGGTCATAGAGTGAGTCCATTCCCAGCCTTTGGGGAGTCTCCATACTGATTTCCAAAGTGGTTGTACTCATTCACAGTCCCGTCTACAATATATAACTTTACTTTTTTCCTCACAACCTCAACAGCATGTATTATTATTTATATTTTTTATGATTATCATTCTAATTGGGCTGTAGTTTTGATTTGCATTTCCTTAAATGCTAAGTATATTGAACATTATTTTCATATAGTTTTTAGTCATTTGCATTTTTTCTTTTGAAAAATGTCTTTTAATTAATTATTTGTCTATTGATTGGGTTGTTTGATTTTGGTTTTGGTGTTTTTTGAGTTCTATCTATATTCTGCATAATAAACTCCTGTTGGAAGAGTAGCTAGCAAAGATTTTCTCCTCTCTTTGTGTTCTTAATTGTTTCCTCTGCTGTGCAGAAGTTTTTTAAATTTGAAGCATTTCCATTTATTGATTATTGGTCTTATATATTGACTTACATTCTCATTTCATTGTTGTGATATATTTTAATATGAATTTCCTTTAAACCGATATTTGCTTACTGACTTGGGTTCCATGTATGTGGTAGGACCACTTCATAGGTCATGTGTCTTCTACTGAGAGGCACACACTGTCCAATCGTCTTTCATTTCATGATGTAAACTGTGCTATGGGGTTTCTCTCTCTGGGAGGGCAAGGCCATTTGAAAGCTAGGCTTGGCCAAGCTGGGCTGCCAGTTCCCCCACCCACTCTATGGAATCATGGAACCAGCTTCTGTTATTGAATTTCCAACAATCGCTTACTATTACATTTTCTGTAAGGACCCTTTAATCTCCAAAGTTCTATCACTCACATTATGCAAGAACTGAGAACTAATTCATACAGGCATTTAGCCTAACACATGGCAAAGTGTTTGATACGTGCTGGGTTTTGATTATTATCATCTCATTAATAGTAGTATTTAAATCCCAAGAGTAACAGTGGCCCACTGCTTCTGTCTTCCTCCTTTTGTGCTTTTAAAAGCCTTCTTTTCAATACAACTTCTTTCAAAACAACAACAACAAATGCAAAGATGGGCAAAGACTTTGAAAAGACATTTCTACAAAGAAATGAACACTTAGCTCATGAGAATACGTTCAACGTCATTAGTCATTAGGGATATGCAAATCAAAACCACAATGAAATAAAACCTCATCCTCATCAGGACAGCTATTTTTAAAAACCCAGAAAACATCTTGTGTTGGCGATAATATAGAGAAATTGGAGCCTGTGTACTGCATGTGAGAATATGAAATGATATAGCCACTGTGGAACATGGTACAATAGGTTTTTCCCAAAATTAAACATATAATGTTTAATTTGGGGAATTACATTTCTATGTATTTACCCCAAAGTATGAACAATGGGCACTCAAAGAGATATTTATATGCCCATCTTCATAGCAGCATCAATCACAATAATCAAAAGGTAGAAACAACCCAAGCTTCCGTAGATGAATTAATGGATACTCAAATACAGCACATGAACAAAGAATATTATTCAGCTTCAAAAAGGAAGGAAGTCCTGCAGCATTACACAACATGGGTTAATCATAAAACTATTAAGCTAAGTTAAACAGGCCACTCACAAAAAGGCAAATACTGTATGATTTTACTTAAGTAAAACAACTAGTGTTTGTGGAAACAGAACGAAGAATGGTGGTTTTCAGTGGCTGAAGAATGGAGAATGAGGAGTTAGTGATTAATGAGTACAGTGTTTCCATTTAAGAAAAAGAAAATGTTCAAGAGGTGGGTAGTAGTGATGAGTGCACAACAATGTGAAAGTAATTAATGCTACTGAATTAGACAATTAAAAAGGGTTAAAATGCTCAATTTCATGTTATGTGTATTTTACTACCAGTTTTTTTTAAAGAGAGAGAGAGAGAATTTTAATCTTTTATTTTTTAGTTTTCGGTGGACACAACATCGTTGTTTGTATGTGGTGCTGAGGATCGAACCCGGGCTGCACGCATGCCAGGCGAGCGCGCTACCGCTTGAGCCACATCTCCAGCCCCACCACCAGTTTTTTTTAAAAAAGCTCTTTTCTTTTCCCATAAGGACTCTCCACCGCAAGATAGTATGGCCCTGACCTCGAATTTGAAGAAACAGTCACAACTGAAAGAGGTGGCAGGGATCCCCCTGCAGAGTACCACTGTAGACAACTGGAGCCAGATCCAGAACTTTGAGGCCAACCGGACGATCTTCTCATCTGTACTTACCCTAAAGCAGGTGATTGTAGGGTAGGGCAACAGCAGAGACCTCACCCTGCTAAGTCAGTATGCCCCAGGACAGAAGTCGCGCTCCTTGCTGTTCTAGGAGGGGGCTTAGGCTTGGATGCCTGGCATCCCTGGATTCTCGGAAGGGGCTGCAGCATATCAGTGCTGGAGGCCCCACCTGCTGCGCTCCGCCATACCCTGCTCTTGGGTGTTTGTGAGCTTTTCCTTTGCTGCTCCACGCCAAGTAGAGACCCAAAGTCTGTCCCGCATGGACGTCCATCTCTCATGGCAAACAGGATCCTGGACCCAGAGGAGGTTGAAGCCAAGAACAGACTCCATGTCCCTTCATCCTTTCCCTCAGCAGCTTCAAGAAGATTATCTAAACGTTTTCTGCTTCTTGCCTTTCTCTTCTGACTCTCAGGGACAACGTGGATTCAGAAAATTGTGGACATGATTGAACAGGATGCAGATGTGGAGAAGTGCCAGCGAGCCATCATCCAACACCGCCACCCTTTCATTGAGTGGGCTCGGCCTCCCCAGCCCTCCGGTGAGTCCCTCTGGTGAGTTCCAGAGAGTTCACAGATACACACACAGACACACACACACACACACACACACACACACACAGAGAGAGAGAGAGACAGAGACAGAGACAGAGACAGAGACAGACACTTCCCAAAGCTGAGCATTACAGAGATCCATGTAATAGAAACTTGGGAACACAAATAAATAAAGCTATGAAAATGAAGCAGTGTAACTCTAGCATGGAGATCTGGAGTTCTTAGAAAACTGTTGATGGTGGTCTGATAAACCTTTCCACTGCCTTAAGAAATGAAGTTTCTGGTCTGATTGATATGCATAAGAACTTGTAACCTTGTCCAGGTGTATCTGCAAGCCAAGATACCCTTGAGGTCCTTCTGGATCTAAGTTCCTATGTAGGTGACACTGGCTTTGCAATTCAATGCCTGATGTTCTCCATCTCTTAATTATCTGTGGAGTGCCAACTCCATACACAGGCTAACCTCTGTTTGCCTAACTGGGATTCATTCCATGTGCCATCAAGATCTTCCATTTTTCTTTGTCTCTGATTATGACTCCACAGCAGGGTAAATCTAGACAACTGGGGTTCAAATCCTGGCTATGTCACTTATCCCATGACTTTTAGCAAGTTATTTAACCTTTCTCTATAATTTACTCAGCTACAAAATAGCCACAGAATAGCACCTACCTCAATTAGTTGTGAGGACTAAGTGAGTTAATATATGTAAAAAGCTTGAAACAGTGCCTGTCAAGGTATCTCATGGTAAAGTATTGTTGACAGCTACCTCTCCAGGATAAATCACTTGCCCCAGGGTGCCATTTGGTCCTTGGACCAACCAAGCCCAATTTTTTATATTGTTTCTACATCCTGCCCCCCGTCAACATTGTTTAATCTCTGACAATTGGGAGATTAAAAAGAGAGAAAATCCTGAGCAAGATTTCTAATGAGGTTTCTTGCCAGTGAGGAGCACAATGTCCCATCACTAAGTCAGAAAAAAACAAGACAGAGCCTCCCTCAGGTCATCCCAGCAGCTGTAGGATTTTGAAGAAGCCGGGTAACCAGTCCCCAGTTTGGCATGTCATATGGAAGCCAAGACGGTTCTTTATGAATCAAGGTGCCCTGAGTCCAAGGAGGAACAAACAGTCTCAGGTTTTCTTTCTTCCCAGCCACTGACAGAGGGGTACTCAGTGGAGACTCATCCATGCCGTGGTTATTCCAGGATAGACAGTCTCTGCCCACAGAGGTGAGGTGTGCCCCTAGAGGAGGAGGGTAGTGGATGACACCGACTCATGCACGTGAGTCCAGGGTCAAAACCTCTGGAGTGGATGGGCACCACTGGGCCATGAACAAGCTAGTCCATCTCCTTCCTAGGGCCCTTGCACCTTCTGACCAAATCCCAGGTACAAAGACATTCCACACCAAAAGCATAGAGTCCAACAGGAATACATTTGGAAAGACTGAGAAAATGTGCACGCATGTGGGTGTGTGAACTACATATAGGTGAAATCTAGGAGTAGCCCACTCAGTTCCACACTCACTACAGGCCCCGGACTGCTCATCAGACATCTTGCATCCACTGGCCCTCAATAAGTCATGGTTCCATGGAAGAGAAAAATGCAGACAATACGTACACCACAATCAGTGGGTGAGTCAGAGGTGAGCACGAAGTGCTCTGGGCAGAATGAGGGGAGCATGGCCAAACTGCACTCCTGGAGGGACCAGAATGATCAGCTGTCACTGTCCTTGTTGACTCTTGCCTCTCTCTTCTGCCAGACCCCAAGCTCCTTGAAGGCAAGAACTATTTAACTATTAGCTACTTAACGTTGTACCCCCTGGGGCTATTTCCACAACGCAAGCTGAACTACTTCTCTCATAAAGACACAGGATATATGTATGGCTCAAATCCCAGGGCTAGGACCTCAGTGCAGATGATGAGGGCCAAAAATGACTGACTCCGTGGGTCCCCTGCTCCCTGCCAGTTAGATGAAAATGGGTTCCATGGCCTCAATAGGGATGAAAGCAGGAGGGAAGACTCATGTCCTCTACACAGGGAGCCTGGAGCAGGGGGACCCATGTGGACAGACGGGCAGAGTTAGAGCAGGAGACCAGGAAGGAGCTGAGGAAAGGCAAGGCAAGTTAGAAAATCCTTACTGAGAAGTATGAATTTAATGGCCTCCAAAAGTGGCTTTCCAATTTTCTTTTTAATACCAGAATGCTCTCTTATTTAAAGAAAAAAATGTTGGTACCGCATGATCCAGCAATGTCACTTTTAGGCAGATATCCAAAAGAATTGAAAACAGGGACTCAAACAGAGTTTATAGCAGCATGAGTCACAATAACAAGAGAAGCAAGCACAAAGAAAATGTAGTATATACATACGACGAAACACAATTCTGACGTATGCTGTAACATGAAGAACACTGAAGACGTGTTAAGTGAAATAAGCCAAATGAAAAAGAGCAAATACTGTGATTCCACTTATATGAATACTTAAAGTAGTCAAATACAAAGAGACCGAAATCAGAATTGTGGTTGCCAGAGACTTGGAGAAGAATTGTGGAGTTAGTGTGAAAGGGCACAGAGATTCAGTTTGGGAAAATAAAAAAGTTCAGGAAATACATAGTCATACAACAATGCAAACATACTTAAAGTCGCTGAAATGTATACTTAGAAATGGTGTAGATGGGGCTTGGAGTATAGCTTAGTGGTAGAATATGTGCTTAGCATGCCCGAGTCCTGGGTTCAGTCCAAGGCACACACACAAAAAGGTTAAGATGGTTGTTATGTGAAACTGTGATACCAATTTCTTAAAACCTCATTGGAGATTCCCATAAATAAAGTTGAGATGATCAGAATGTTAGTGTAAATGCTAATGCTAAAGTGAAAGTTTGGGGAGAAAATGTGAAGAGCTGTGGAGATGAGAGATCATGCCAAGCTTCCAAGAAGAACTCTTCCTCAATGGGAGTGGCTCAAAAGCAGCCGTGATTTGAAAGCACTAGGTCTGCATGCTTCAAGGTGTCCACACACGGATGTCAGCTCCAGACCCGGCCCTCCCTGTTGAAGGGCTCAGTTCTCATGCTCTTTCCTGGGATCTAGCAGAGAGACTCCCTCCTCCTCAGGGCCAGTAGAACAGTCATTCCCATAACACTTAAAGACTGCCCAGGAGCCTGGTTGACAGGGTGGAGGGAAGTTGGCATCCAGAACAACACTCCCAGCACCACACTTTTTAGAAGGCAAAATAGAGTTTACAGGTGTGCCCAGAACAAAGGACAAGAGGCACAGAGAGGCCTCTTCTCCACAGTTTCCTTCCCGATGAGGCCCAGCCTTGAAAAACAGGCACTGAGAGAAGAGGCCTAGCTCCTCAGTCAGCTGAGGGCACTTTGATTACAGGCTTAGAACAGAGACCTGACCCCCTGCCAGCACTCACACCAGCCAGCAAGATGGGAGTTTGTGTGGAAGCCACTTCTAAGTGTAGCTCCCTGCTGCACATTTAAAGTGACATGTTATTTTATGTCATTTCTTATTTCTTTATTTTATAAATACCCTCCCTCAGCAATCAGCATTCTTGACCCTTCATGCAGAGGGATCTTCACCCATCATATACAAGTGGTCCAAGTTCAACTGTGTCACCTAAGCACATCGATTCACTCCAGATCTTTGGAGCAATTTTGATTTTCAGCACTGACTCCTTTGGCTCTCCATGGCAATTTACCTGAGCCTCTGATTGCTACACTAAAGTTGACACTCCTTAGAAAGAAGACGTTTGCTTTATTTGTTGTCTTTTCCCCATAACCTCAGTTCAACACAATATCGCATACAGCAAGTACCCAATAATGGTATAAACGAAAGAGTAGAATTCATGACTTACATGCCAGGAAATGTCTATGGTTTTAGAGTTGGAAAAAGTGATTGGCATAGGCCAGTCACATATGGTTGGCTCTAGCTGGCTGGAAGGTGAGAGCCCTGCTCTCTGGTCCTGGTGGGCTCCATCTCAACATGATACAATGGTCCATCTCCTTATCTTTGAAGTAATGAAGTAGCTTAAGTTGAAGCTCCCTTATAGCCATCATGTTGTCATTCTTCAAAATGAAAGTAATATCAGTAAATGACTATGAAATCCCAAAAGAAAGCCAAGAAACCAACAGAGAGATAAGTGCATAATGAAACATTCTGGACAGAGCCTGAGACACAAGGTCCCCTCACTGTGCTTACACCATACAGATGTATCCTCTTGAATTATTTTAAAGGTGTGGAAAAAGCCAATGTGATGCCTGCTCCACGGATACTAAGGACTCACCTTCCTACTCAGTTGTTGCCATCATCGTTCTGGGAAAACAACTGCAAGGTAGGATAAGTTCAGCCACCTGGTGGCAGGAGGAGAGGAAGCCCACCCAGAGTGAGGCCTCCGGACCCCAGGTCAGAACTTCCTCCTCCACATCTTTACCTCTCCTCTACTTCTGAAGGGTTGGCAGCTTCTCAACAGTAAGGGAAAATGCAAGGTTCTATGTTCAGTGGACAGTTTCCACAAGGGCACTCCCGTGGACAGTTTCCACAAGGGCACTCCCGTGGATAGTTTCCAAGAGACCTGGAGGCAGAAGCTGTACTGAATTTCTACAGAGAATAGACATGGGGAGGCATGAGGATCCACTGCTCTGAAGAGCAAGGATTGCTGTGAAGGGAAGAGTGAGAACAGGGGCCACAGGCTGGGCCATGGGGAGAGGGAAAGGGGAATAATAAAAAGCCTTGCAGATTGTTCAAAAGGGAAAGTTGATGAACAGAGGGAGCCATGAGTGCTCTTGAGGAGGCCCTTGGCCACAGCCCTGCGCTCCTTGTTTTACTCATTCTGGGACTTTATTTATCATGGACATCAGTGCGTGTTGAATTTCTGTCACCGCATAGGGCAGTAAAACATGTCTTCTGATCTGCAAAAGATGAGAACTGTGTACCAAGGGGAGGCAAGAGCACAGACTGAATACGGGGAACTGCTTTCTCAGCAGTGGAAACAGATGGGAATGACTAAGAGGGCAATCTCAGGATGACAGGAGTGCAGGGGGCAGACTCACATCAAATGACATGGCTTCCTTTTGGAAAACCTGGGTGAGGAGTGAGAACTTCTGTTTCCAGGATGATGTTTTGTATACAAAAACATTTGTATACCACCCATGAATGCTGCAGGACATAGCAGAATTCCCTTTTTAAATGCACAACTGAGATGGGTTTAAAAGTAAGGAAAGTCCCTAAGTTCTAAAAATGAAGAGGGAAATAAAACTCAGAGAAGTAAATTAGGCCTGGATCTGTCTGGGGAAATTTGGTGACCTGGATAATCCAGCAACTTAAATTTTGATGGCTGCAAATGCACAAGGCCAAAGCCAAGGATATCAGGAACCAGAGGAATAAGGAATATAACTGGGATACTGAAAGGTCGAATCCTCAATGGTGGGTGGAGACGGTGAAGGAGAACCCAGGGAGCCTGTCTTGAGCCTGCTCTTAGCTCCCCTGAGAATGTGTGCCCACTGTCCTCCTCTCTCAAAACTTGGGGTTCAAATTGGCCTTCCTCATGCTGTTCAAGAAAATACAATAAGTCAAATCGGCATATAGTAACTGTCAGTGTTCCCAGGATCCCTGGCAGGCACATGGTCTGGAAGAATACAGTTTCTGCCCAGGCCCCACAAGATACCCACCTGAGCTCACCATCCCACATTACAAAACACAGAATTAGCCAAGATACTGAGATTGAGATAGAGGTGATAGATAGATAGATAGACAGACAGACAGATAACAAGCAGCAGAGTTAGACCTCAAGAACTTTACTTAACAATTTATCACCTATAGAAATAAAAGAAGAGGTCTAGGAAGTACTAGGGTGTTTTCCTAGCATACAAAGTTCTGGTTTCATTTACAGCACTGGAAAGAAAAAAAGAGAGAGAGACAAAGAAAGAAGAAAAAAGGGAAGGAGGAAGGAAGGAAGAATAGGTTGTATAAAGAAATGAAAGATTGAATCAAAATTAAAATACAGGAATAACATATAATTAGAAACAGAACTATTAAAGAAATATATGTCAGTTATTGAAATTTAAAACCCCCAAATAGGCTAATATGCAGTATAAATACCGATGAATACCAAATTCATGAACTTGGAGAGGGGATGAAGTCTTGTGACTAGAGGTCAGAAATATGAGAAGAGATTCACAAGCTGGCAAGAAACAGTGAAGTGAAAGACAACTGAGGTTTAAAAGCTTAATAATTCAGGTGTTTCTTTTTTTAATATTTTAAGAAACGTGTTCATTGGTGGAGAAGACGGATATAGGACTTAGACAACAGTGGCAGAGTAACCAACTTGGAAAGCAGGGCTTCTCAATCTCAGCCCTTGTTTTATAATTTTGTTTTGTTTTTGCTTAAAAGACAAATGGGATTTGTTCAAAGTGATGTGGTAAGTAATGCAGACACAGAAATGACCGTCATGAAGAGTGTTTTGTGCTCACAGTTCCCTAGAAACAGAAGGTACCGCATGCCACATAGAGCCATATAGGGAAGCACCAGGTCAGTCAGGATGCAGAAAGATGAGATAAAAATATGTACAAGAGCCATTATTGTGGTTTCTGCAGGATGGGGACAGGAGATGCAAGGTAGGCAGGCTTCGAGCTGGGTGGTTTGAACAATTTCAGCAGACTCTGGGGCATAGGACTGCGTCTGATTGTCTGGTACCTGCCCTGTGTTGAGTGGGCAGGTGGACAGTGGCTCAGAGTATGGGAGCTTCATAAAGGAGGAGGTGAAACTGTGGGCTCTGGATTGGTTGGCTGTATATTTACTGGACCTAGGAATGAGCTACTCCTAGAAAGGATACTCCCTCTAAAAACAGAAAGGTTCCAAAATGTCCAAGTATCAGAATAGAGAACATAAAAGATAGTTTAATATGAATAAATAAAGCACTACTGATATTTTGAGCCAGATAATTCTTTCATGTGGGTAGAAGCAGAAGATCTCTCCTATGTATTTTTTATTAATTTTAAAAATTTATATATGACAGCAGAATGCACTACAATTCATATTACACATATAGAGCACGATTTTAGATATCTTTGGTTGTATACAAAGTATGTTCAAACCAATTTTTGTCTTCATACCTGCACTTTGGATAATGATGACCATCATATTTCACCATCATTTCTAACTCCATGCACCCTCCCTTTCCCTCCCACCCCTCTGCCCTATCTTGAGTTTGCCTATTCCTCCTATGCTCCCCCTCCCTACCCCACTATGAGTCAGCCTCCTTATATCAGAGAAAACATTCAGCATTTGTTTTTTTTGGGATTTAACATTATCTCCTCCAACTCTATCCACTGACCTGCAAATGCCATGATTTTATTCTCTTTTATTGCTGAGAAAATTCCATGGTGTATAAGTGCCACATTTTTTTCATCCATTCAACTACTGAAGGGCATCTAGGTTGGTTCCACAATTTAGCTACTGTGAGTTGTGCTGCTATAAACATTGATGTGGCTATGTCCCTGTAATATGCTGTTTTTAAGTCCTTTGGGTATAGACTAAGGAGAGGAATAGTTAGGTCAAATGGTGGTTTCATTCCCAGATTTCCAAGGAATCTCCATACTGCTTTCCTTATTGGCTATACCAATTTGCAGTCCCACCAGCAGTGTATGAGTGTGCCTTTTCCCCCACATCCTCACCAACACTTATTGTTGTTTGTCTTCATAATAGCTGCCATTCTGATTGGCGTGACATGAAATCTTAGTTTTGTCTCCTGTGTATGGTAGAGTATTGTTCAGCATTCCTGACCTTTACTCACTAGATGCCAGCATCACTGTCCCAGTGTCACAACTAAAAATGTCTCTGGTGATTGATAAATGTCTCTGGTGGAAAATATCATCCCTGATTATGAACCACTGTTTTACGGTGAAAATCAGCAAGCACTGAAATAACTGTTCATGGGTCCTGGGTGGATAGTTGAGAGGGCACTTTGGGGCTGATACAATCAATGTGAATTTACCTACCTCTCTCATTTTATAATAATGAGACAAAAGTTGGTTAAATGAAAAATTGTGAAGAGGAAGGTTTGAATTTGAGGTCAAAGTGACACATAAAGGGGTGCTTTGTAAGGGCAGAGCTGAAGCGACTAGAGATAGAAATAATAAATTGGAGAGGCCAGAAGGAAGACAGTAACTCTTTTCTTGTTCCACAGTCCAGACCCTAACCACGAAGCTATCCTGTTTCACCAGGAAACCAAGATGAGTTTGTCAGAGGCTCATCCACATGCATGTGGCATTTTTTAGTCACACGACAGGTCATCCTTTCTAAAGGAGGATTTAGCCCCCTGCCACCAGTGGGGATCAGGTTAGCTAATTAAAGTCTTAATAGGACCAGGTTGAAAACAGAGTATAATTGGCAAAGATACACGGAGAGTGGTGAGAGATTACAAAGCCACACTGCCAGCTCCGAAGTGCTAAACAGGTGTGTGTAGACAGCCTCAGGAAGACTCAACCCAGGTGGACTTTGTGAAAATCCATTTCTATACCATTTTTCACCCATCTGTCTCCTTACCCTAAAGTTCCTTTATGTAGCTTGAAATGCCAAAGACTGTATGGTTTCCTACTACCATTTCCAAAGGATGAATCAAGTGCTACCTGACCCTGGAACCTGGGAAGAGTATTTTGAAACCTTCATTGATGGAAAAGGTAAAAGAAAATGCTTCGTGTACCTGTATCCCCATTCTAGTGAGATGGATTCAAGAGAATCAGACATGACATTTGATTCTCTACAACTTTGCCTCTTTAGGTAAATCCTGCCCTGGATGGGGACCAGGCAGAGCAGCTTGGCTGCTTTTCCACTATAGACCCACAGCCCTCAGTAAATATCTCCCACCTGATTAGAAAGTCGGTGTTCTGGGCCACAGGTTCTGTTGAGGCAACCTCATTCCAGAGGGATTGCGATCTCAGTGAGGGTACCATGTTTGTGCATCCTCAACAGGAAGACACTTTGGGTAGCATGTTTGGACAAATAACCCCAAGCCCGACCCAGTCCACATGACCATCAAAATCAAACAGATCGGGACTCTTAGGAGGTATCTGATGCAGAGTCTGTCCCATTTACACTTCAAATCAACAAAAACCCTGACCCTCAGAAGGTTCTGTGCCATTTCTATGTAGGCTGCTCTTTGTGTCTGTTACAGTGGGTTGGGGCTCCTGGTTTGACCATGTGAAAGGATGGTGGCAGAAGAAAGACACACATCAGGTTCTCTTCCTCTTCTACGAGGACATAAAGAAGGTGAGTAAAGAGACACTTAGACCCAGGAACAGAGAAACTTGAAGCTGTTCAGGGCTGTACTTCTGAGAAAGAATCACGGCTTTCTGAAACTCATCCATCCCATTCAATGTCACCCTCACCACAGGACCCAAAACATGAGATTCAGAAAGTGGCACAGTTCATGGTAAAGAGCTTGGATGAAACGGTGCTGGATAAAATTGTCCAAGAGACATCATTTGAGAAAATGAAGGAGAATCCCATGACAAATCGTTCTACAGTTCCCAAATCCATCCTGGACCAGTCCATTTCCCCCTTCATGAGAAAAGGTTTGTGGGGCCTTGTCACAAATGCTGAGCCTGCCTGGTAACATTGCCAAGATGATACTGGGTTTCACTAATTCCAAAGCCATGTACTGACTATTCATGATACCTGGTTCTAATAAGGCTAGGAACTTGAACCTGTTGTAGTAGACAAAGCTCTGTGAATAGCAAAGGAAATGCAACCTTGTAAATGAATAAAGGCAGGAGCAACTATTGATCCAGAATTCACAGAGACTCCTGGACCTACCTAATGATCTGGGACTTAAGCAGCAGGAGGTCACAACTCTTTGCTCTATGAATCCACCACTTAAAAGGCTCAGCTACTGTCTACATTAGGTATATCTTCTGTCATGACCCATTTCCTCTCTCTCTGCCCATTGTAACTTTAACTTACATTATAGTTTCTACTGAAATTATTTCATTGCCCTTTCCATCTAAAAGAGTACTCAATGCTTCTAAAACAAATCAAATGATTCCATTTCTTTTCAAATAGCTGATGGTGATTTTGCAAATAGCCCTTCTTTAGGCCCTTACATATCTACCTTTCTATACACACTCTTCCTTTTGTCTCATACAAACACAGAGATATGTATACCATATGTAGTTATCCTATACAAATTTGCCCACCAGAATATGAAACATCTCTTCAGGGAAACGCATATAGATCCAAGCCCCTCACTGCTTTTAGAAGTCCTCTGTAATATCAAAGTGGCATAATAAACATTCATAATTCACCCATCTGTTTTTCTAGTGATAGGGAAGTTATCATTGCCTTCAGTTTTCATCTTTATGAATAATGTTACAATGAAAAATTTGGGGCATAGTCGTTATTTCCTGATACTTTTCTGTCACATAATTTTTCAGAAGAGACATTGGTGGAACAAAGAACATTTTCTAATATGAAATTATTTTAATCACTGCTTAGTGAAAAATAGTATCTCCTTCTAACTATTTTCAAATTCTTTTATGTTGATATATAATCTAAATACAAAAATGCTCAGATCTTAAGCATACAGTTTAACATACTTTTTAAATATATGTAGCCATACAACCAGCACCCCAATCAAGATATCATTTTCATAACTCCAGAAGGGACCCTCTCATATCCTGTTTTTATCAATATGTACCTGCAGAGACAAGTGCTATTCTAATCTCTATCCTGTAGATTGGTTTTACTTATTCTTGATGTCATACATATGGAATCACACAGTACACATTTTTATGTCTGGGGCCTTTGGTCATATAACATCTAGAGATTTCTCCATGTGGTGTATTTCCATAGTGCATTTGTTTTTATGACTCTGTAGTGCCACTGTGTGACTCTACTGTAGGTGGGCTGGGTCATTCTGGGTCACCAGCTTTTGGCACCAGTCATGATTAGATTTAGAAGCCCATCCTCCTGCACTGAGCCTCAGAGGGCTGCTTCCCATAGCAGGTAGCTGCAGAGGGAACGGAGTTCATTGAGGGGTAACTGGGTGAGTCAGGCTACTGACAGCCAAGCCTAATGTGGGTGCTCCACTCATTAACTTGGGTCCACTCAGTCTGTCCATAAGAGAATGACAACTCCTATCTGGTTTCCATCTTCTAGGAACTGTGGGGGATTGGAAAAACCACTTCACTGTGGCCCAGAATGAAAAGTTTGATGAAATATATAGGGAGAAGATGAAAGGAGTCACTATAAACTTCTGCATGGAACTCTGAGGAGGTAGTAAATAAAAAGTTGGAAGACAAGAACACAAACGCTGTCTTCAATCCTCAGCCACAGCCAGATGCATCTCTGAAAGCACATTGGAAATGTTTATGATTGTGGTACAAACCATCTCTGTAATTATGAACCATATGTCACAGCTTTGCAAAAAGGATCATGTCTAATGCCTATTTTCTCCTCTATTTTTTCCAAACTAAGAATAAGACATCTTAATAAACTAGGTAAAAATATAACACTTAAATACTACAAGGATTTTTATAATCCCCATTCTTTTGGGAAGTGTATCCATTTTCTAGGGTGCAATATAACAATATCTTGAGAACAAATACACAAATATTAGATAAAATATATACTAACAACATGAAATTCTGATGTCTGCTCTGACCACTTGGGGAACACTGGTCTGGGCTCAATCCGGAGGTTCTTCCTGGTCACAATGGGAAGAGAAATAATGGGAAGGGATACAACCCTGGTGCTGCCAGAACTGAGAAAATATATTCTGAGCACCCTGATTGTAAGCAGAGAATGAAAGGAAAGGCCAGAGAGTGAATGTCAGAAGTCTAAAATATGATGAAGAGGGACAAGGTGCTAGGCCATATAGGAAAAATCAGGAAGGTGTTGTTCGGGAGCCCAAATGAGATCCTGGTAAAGGCAGAAAGTAGGGGAAGTGACTGATGTCAGCAGTGTCAGCCCGGGTGTGGTGCTCAACATGGAGACAACTGAGCCTCAGCTTCACTGCCATACACTCTGGGGAATAGTTCCTGACCAAGTTAGGTGTCCTTTGCACTCAATTCCCATATTTTCCCCTATTGCTTATCTGTAGGTCCCACTACATTGTAAATCTCTTGGGGTTTGGTTCCATATCTTAGTCACCATTTTACTCCCAGTGCCTAATGCATACAGCATAGGCCAATACAAACTTGTTGCATGAGCGAATGAAAGCATAGAATACAGGAAGGAAGGCACATTTCAAATTACTAATTCCAAACGTTGACCCTTTTCTTTTAGACCCAAATCAGAGGGTGCGCTAAGCCAAATAAAATACTGATTTCTTTTCATCACTGCTCAAGTTTGGACCTGAACTTTCCCCCAAAGTCCCATGTGTTAAAGACTTGGATTCCAGTGTGTTCCTACTGTGTGGTGATGAACCCCCAGAGGAAAAGCTTAGTGGGACTTTTCCAGGTCATTGGAAATATGCCCTCAAGGAGGATAGTGGAACCCAGGCTCTTCTTCCTGTATTACTTCTTAGCCATGAGATGAGCAATTTATCTCTGCCCTGCATTTGCACCATGCTGCCTCCATACCAGAAGCCTAAAAGTAATATGTTTAACCAATCATGGACTAAAACTTCAAAAGTTTGAATCAAAGTAAGTGATTGTATCAGGAATTATTTCAGTAATGGAAAGCTGACTAACACAATCACCATGTTCTGCCAATTCTAAATGATATCAATGGTAAAATACCCCTCTCTGGAAAAAAAAAGAATCTTCCATTGGCCCAACTTTTAAACAATTGTTTATGTTGATTCCATACAGTTAAAAACACTTAGCTTTAAACATATGTAAGTTTCAAATTAACATGTTTGTTACGTTAAAAAATCATCTGTATCTTCACTGGATTATATTTTTCTGTTATTTGGTTCTATGTCTTATTCACCTCTGTATGCAAACTGATTCAGAGATTTACCTGGTAAAACCTTCCATAATAAACAGAAGCTATAAGAAAATTCATAACAAGAAAGAAAGCCTGCACTACAAAGCATACACAATGAAATATTTCATCAAGCAAAAATTAAAAATAAAAAAACCAGCATAGAGATGCATTACACTAGAAGAAAAATCAAATGACAACCAAGTCTGAATTACACTTCAGAAATAAATCAAAGTGGCAGGAAATAGAAACCATCTCCCTGTAAGGATAAAAGCCCATGAAGGAAGTAGAGAAGAGAGGCAGTTCAACACCGACACACATTTGTCCAGTGAAAACCTGCAGATGGGGGCCCAGTGGAGACTGAGACCGACCCTCCACTGCAGCCTAGGGCAGACATCAGGGCGGGGGGAGTGTGGGAGTTTTTGTGGTTGGGCCATGGCTAGGAGGGTTGTCAGGGAAGGGTCCCTTGGGGTCACCTGTATTCTTTGAGGTGATCACTGTTTCATGTTGAACCAGGTGTTTTCAGAATTCCAATCTCAGGAATTTCCTTTTCCTGTGTGATGGTAAATTATTGTTTGAGACTTCTTTGCACGATGATAGGGTATTTCTGGGGTTTAACGTCAGGCTAAGTCAGAACAACAGTGAGGTGACTCTTATTCCGTGATGGGGGATGTATTTCAAATGGTGTTGCCTGTGTCAAGTTCTACCTAACAATCCTGCCTTTTTAAAAATTCATGGAAAAGAAGTGAAGGGAGGGGTGAAGGGCAGGGGGCAGTGACGTCTCTTCCAGTCCTTCCTGCTGAGGGAGGCATTGGTGGAGGACTCCTGTAGGCACTGACAGGAGCAGTTCTCTTGGTACTCAGCGGAAGGGTGTTCTGGGTCACGTGATTAGCAGTGGCATTGATGGTCCTGTGTGGAAAGCAGATGAAGAGCTGACACAGGGAGGGCCCCGTAGCAAGGTCAATCATGATACAGAGGATTGGGAAGACAAAAGGGGCATCCAAGAGAACATAGCCAGGGGCGAAAGCACCTCATATCTCATGAGGAGGAGCACCGATGAACCTGGTGCCTGTTCTCTTAACTTTAATGCCATTCCAGACGTGTTAGTGTCGAAGCAGCAGGTTTCTTGTAGGAAGGAACAGATGCCTCCTTTGTCTGAGGTTAATAAATCTAGGTCTCCTCTGTTGTGGAGGACAGTTGGAGCCAACAAATCTCTTTGGTCCTGAAGCATAAAGAGTTGGGTTGAGATTTCTCTGAGGCCAGCTGCCGTTTCTTTAGATAGTCCTGCAAAACTGATGGGTGGAGACTCCTCCTCCTGCCACTCCTGTGCCCACTGCTGCAGTTATGCCCAGGCGTATCAGGAGGGGAGCAGAAGGGAGAGCTCATTTCCCTCTGGGTAGGGTGTGTCCTGGACTGGGATGGGTCCCTTCTCAGTGAAACGTAGGAGGACTGGTGTGGGAAAGGCTGGGGTGCGAGTTTCTGTGCAGTCAGTGGGTAAACAGGTGTGTTTTTCACAGAGGAGGAAGGTTCCCTGATGAGCGTTAAGGCAACAGAAACTTGTGTTAGTTGGAGGCTGTTGAGGTTCCATGTCCACCCCTGGTAAAGGCAAAGGTGGTGGCCATGTGTGCAGCCCCAAGAGGCTGGGGATCAATCTTGATGTTCAAAAGATGGGACTTTTCAATTAAAACTTGGTGTTTGGAGGTTTGAGAAAACTTGTCCGGGTAGAGGAAGGAGCATTCAGTGTTCTCCATGGTGGGGCTTAGGGTTTATGTTCATTAGAGGCACACGGTTAGTGGACCTCTACCTTGGCTTTTGGTTATAGGTAAACTCCAAAGAGCACAGGGAATGAAAGCTCTTATGAGTTTGCTTGTGGGCCCCTTTTAGGTGCTGTGTTCACAGTGGGATTGGGGAAAGGAAAGGTATGATTACACAAAGAAAGAGAAAGGAAGGCTGCTGGGGTTTCCTCTTCTGTGCATGGGATACAGAGGAGAGTCTGAGAAACAGGGGTTCAGTAAGGGTGCCCATCTGACCTGTCATGGGGGTAGTAATGTGTGAGGCACAGTATCTGGCAGTCCTACATCAAAAAGGAACATGTCGTATGGCTGATTCCCTGAATTCTGTTCCGTCTTCTCCGTACATGTGAGGAAATCCTTGGTGTTTGCCCCTGTGGTCAGAGACGCTGGCTGGGCTACAGAGTTGGGGCTCGTGGGGGTAAACAAATCCAGCAGGGGAAACTGGATGTGTTTGTGGAATTTACCAGAAGGTCAACAGAGGTTTTAATAAGTGCAGGCATGTATTGAGGTATTAAGGCCAGACAAAAAGGAGGCAGAAAGAGAAGAAGGAAAGCTGAAGATGTGAGAAGTCCCAATAAGGTCCTTCAAGCCATGCTTGATGCATGGATTTGAAAATTTAAGCTGGAGTATTCAGGGGCTCTGGGAATAGATACCAAGCAATGTCCTGGGTAGTGAGGATAATAAATTGGCAAAAGTTGGGACAGAAAAAGATGAGAAATAAAGAGACCTAAGTTTATAAGGTATAATCCTGGTCCTATGGTCTCTGAGTATCTGGGGGGAAGTGTATAGGAGTGGGGCTTGTGAAAAAGCAAGAGTACTTTATACAACCAGGAGGGCTGTGGGGGATGTGCGCTGTTCGGGGGGATGAGTGAGCTGCTACCTTTTTCAGCTTGGAATTGGGTATCCAGTGTGGGAATGATTTCAGCTTGGCTGCTGCAGGTGGTGTCGGGACTACCTGATGTGAACCTGCCCATTTTGGGTTAAGGGGAGTAAGAGAGTCTGCTCTCCACATCAGGTCTCCTGGCTGCAGTTTTAATGGAGTCTCAGAATAGTCAGTAGGCTTAGGAAGGAATTGTTCTACATGCCATCTGCTTAGGGGTTGCCTCAGGTGTAAGGCTGGCCAGGTATCAGGAACAGGAGGGGCTGAAGGAAGAGGAAAACCCTGGAGCACAAAGGGACAGCCATGGAGGAGCTGGAAAGGGCTTAGACTGCGGGGTTTTCAGGAAGGACTCCTAAATGGAGGAGCCAAGGGAGAAGTTGGTCCAGGTAAGCGCAGTTCTAAGCATTAGTTTGCTCAGGTGCAGGTTTAGGAGAGCATTTGTGCGTTCCACCTTTCCTGGGGATTGGGAGCAGTGTGGGACAGAGAGACAGTTATGTACAACCCAAAATGTGAGTACTCAGGGCGGATTAGGTTTCCCATAGAAAGGCTGACAGGAGAGGAGAGGAGCTGACCCCTTCCCCAGAACTGGTTTCCTACCATAACATTTTATAATCTCATTTTATAACCAGGTCTAGTTTTGCCGCCATAAGTAGGTAAAAGGGGGGCAAATATCCTGAATGTACTTAGGAATTGAAAGCCAAAAACATAGATTCTGTTGGGGACTGAAGGAGAACAGTTTTTTGGTGATCTATTAGAAACCAGACATTTTTTAAGGGGAGTCCCAGGTTAGAAACACTTTATATTCGGAGGCAGAATAAGATGGAGTAGGGAAGAGAAAACAGGGAGTAGGGAGGGGTGTGATGGGGACTTCTTTAGGCTTCGTGTAAGAACAGAGGTGACCAGTGGGGAA